AAGGTTTGATTAACTGATGTTAATTCTTCCCCATGGGAGGAGTTGTTCTGCACATCACCCATGGATCAGCCTTGTGCGAGGGCGCACTGAGCCCCGGGATCCGGCTAGCTAGTGAGGGGCGAAGGCCAGCACCCCCGCACATCTAAAATCAGCCCCCCTCGGTGTCTTTGGCCTTGGGCTGAGCTGGGAGGTGTCTCGGAGCGGCACGAGTGTGAGGCGAATTAGGAGGCGACCACTTGCTGGAGGTAGGCTGTCGGTTTTATTACAGAAGCACCATCAAGGAGGGGAAACACCCAGCAAAATGGCCCCGAACCGGGGGCCACACTGGGTTTTTAAGGGAAAAAAGGGGGAAAAGGTAGGGAAACCCAGCTAGCCAATAATAATACATATTTTGAGGTCCTAAACATAATTGACATACCTAAATAACCAACTAATATTAAGCAAAGGAGGGGCTCCGGAGCGGCAGCCAACCATAACCCCCAGAGAGAAGAAGGTTCTCGAAACTTGGGAGGAGAAAGGGGGTGACTGACTTAACCCAGGGAGGAAACGACTTTCACTTATAAGGGAAACCAGGGGAAGAGCAATTACATATCGGCAACTATGAATAGCGGTTACTATAGCAACTTAGCTGGCAGGCTAACGGTGGCGGGAAAGAAAGGGAGAACGAAACCATTTTACACATAATAGGGGAGAACAATACATAAATTGGGGGAATAACACAAGAAACTTAACAACACACTACAACACAGCCTGAAATGGTTCTCAATCACAAAATGACAACTCTACAACCACAGCTTCAGGACACTAATCAGATTTCATGTCGTCAGTTATCACACTTATTACTTGATTACTTCAGATTTGCTAATCTGAAACCAACCACTTAAATTCTTAACTAAGCACTCAGCTCTTCTCAACACGCTCCTCCTGAGCCTGGGTTTTTGCTTCTGGCTTAGTCAAGCTATTTTCTCCACCTTGCTTCTCTGACATCTGACATCTTATCATAGGAAAGTTTCCATGGCAGCCAGTATAAGGCACAATTGAGCCTTGCCATTATATTTGATGGGCTTTTTCTTTGGAGCTTCGATCCAGACTGCAATATCATTTGTCAGGAAACTAACCAAGAGATCAAAAAGAGTTTTGGGCATTTGGAATAGATTTGTGCTTTAGCTGTCCTCCTCAATCAACAGGAAAAAAACTTTAAAAACCCCACCAACAAACAAATACCAAACAAAACACAAGCAAAACAACCAAGCAAACAAACAACCTCAGAAACATATAGCAAACTAAGTGATTGCTATATACAGTTATAAAATCTTAATTTACAAACAACACACCAGTATACTTATTTTTTTGGGTCTATGGGTGTTTAAGAAAAAAATTATTTCATCCAAAGTCTTGGAAGTTATAAACCTAAGATGCTAAGCCATTTTTATGAGTCTGTAGCTGACAAAGAGAATAAAAAAAATGAAAATAAAAGAGGCAATACATCTGAAATGCAATCACACTGCAAAATACTGAAGGGAGGAAGGTATCTCCTGCTGTGATATCACCCTCCAATAAATACAAAACATAACTCCCCAAACAAAACCTCATAAACTGATTCTCTACCTTGACAAATTCTTCTTGTTCATGGATACAACAATTTGCATAGAATAATGAAGTAAATGGCTAATAAGAAATCTATTCTGTAAAAGGTATTTGATAACTGGATGGTTATGTGATCACATTAATGTACAGAATGCTGTAGATATCACTGGGCTTATATAAAAACAGCTGTGAGTCTTTCCCCTCTCCCCTACATTAAAAAAAAAAATCCTCCAACTCACAGCTTGATCACAAAAATTGGCAAGGCAGAGAAGATAGTCATGAAAGACTGGATCCATTAAAAAAAATGAAAACTGGAGACTTATTTCCTCATCTGCCTGCATGTTTTTCCTCCTAGTCTCACTACCCATACAAAGTTTTCTTACTGTTCATCTCAACAATTCATCTGCTGCATGATTATGCTGAACTAAAATATAATTAGTGATGAGTTTTGTGCTGCAGGAATCAAATTTACTCAAAAAATCTATTTCCCTGAAGCAAAAATCACAGAACCAACCACGGAATTTTTAAGGTGGGATGTGAGCCCTGGAACTCCTGCTCAAGCAGGGAGTTTTAGAGTTTGCTACTCAGAATTGTGTTCAGATGGCTTTTGAATATCTTCAGAGGAGGAGACCCCACACCCTCTCTGAGCTCTCTGTTCCAATACTCTGTCACCCTCAAAATAAACTTCTTCGTCATTTTCAGGTGGATCTTTCCATGTTCCAGTTTTTACCCATTGCTTCTCATTCTCCTGTTGCTGGGCACCACTGAGCAGAGCCTGGCTCCACCTCTTGGCACCTCCCTTCAGATCTTACAGACATTAAATACCCTCTCAGTCACCTTTTCTTGAGGCTCAATCTTTCCTTTTAACTGAGTTGCTCCAGCCCCTTAATCACGTTCATAGTTCCTCCACTAGACTTGATCCAGGATCTCCATGTCTCTCTTCTAGTGAGGAGCCCAGAACTGGACCTATATAAGGGAATCCTATGGAATAAATCTGTGCACGTTCTCTGCAAGCTACAGAGAATACACCACTGTTCAAGGTTTGAACACAAAAGGAAATTAAGCTGACACCGTTGCCTTCAGCTTTTTCCCTTCTTTGAATATCAATAAGTACACTCCTAGAGTCTCATTATTCCCTTGGCAGGGCTTCCACTACCATTTACACATGAATAATTTCTTTTTTATAGACCCAATATTGTTTTGTTCAAAACACATTTATCATTACGGAATGTGATACAGTAGGAGCAAACTGCAAGCGCTTCTCATCAAAGCTGTCTTTGCAAAACAACTGCACATGAAAAACAGCCGGGATGTGAACCTGAAAAGGCTTGTTTTACAATTCACTGCAGTTGTCAGGGGCTTGTCCAGGACAAACTTACTTCCTCATGTGGTTGAGTACTGAGTACACAGAGTATTGTGAGGAAATACTGAAAATTTAGGTTGAACTAATATCTGAAACTGAGATAAAATTACCCCTAATTTAAATGTGCTATGAGCAGCATTTATTAGATCTTATTAAGAGACAAAGTATTCTTTTACATAAATCAGAACTTTTAGGGTGGTTTATAAACAACTTCCCAATTGTGTACTTGCACTTTTGTGGAGGACACACATCCACATCCATCCATACTTTAGCATAACTTTTTGACAGGGCAGACCTCAATGTGCATGCAACCTTTCAGCTCAAATTAAGCTCACTTACACTGGTGCAAGTCACCCAAATGGTGAAAAGGAAAATGAAAATGGTAGCAATGTCCCAGAGGAACAGATACAGATATCCTGCATCCATCCTTGCACACAACACTATGTTCCTTGATTTCTGATGAGAGCAATTCTGAAAATGCTGTAGAATGTTAGGCAAAGAGATTAACCACGGCCCCAGTGTGATTGAAGCACTGGTGAAAATGTTTTATGAGCTAGAAGATCCACTATTTTTCCTCATCTGGCCTCTGGCATGTGAAAACTCACAGGGAGCAGCATTCTGCAGGAATGCTCCTCAGCAGCTTGGAGAAGAAGTGCATGCTGCACGTGGCACTACCAAGAGCAGAGCCATAGGCTGTCACCATGATGTTTTATGAAAAATCTCTTCGCCAGGATTTTTCTCCTAAGAAGCTGAGAAGCCTCAGAAAATAAATGTAAACAATAATTATCTGATTGCTTAGAATGTAGTCTGGAGGTTACTTACCACCAGGTGCCTCTTTGATTAGTTCCATGTGAATTGTTTTTACTTAATGACCAACCCCAGTCCAGCTGTATCAGACTCTCTGATCAGTCATGAGTTTTTATTATGCATTCTTGTTTAGCCTTCTGCTGTATCCTTTCTTCTATTCTTTAGTATAGTTTTAATATATAATTTTCTTTTAATATAATAAATCAACCTTCTGAGAACATGGAGTCAAATTCTCATTGCTCACTTCATCCTGGGGACACAACAACACAACAACAAGCTGTGATGGTGTTCACAGGAGTCTCAGGTTGAGGGAAGAGACAAGGATCTGACTCCATGTTTCAGAAGGCTGATTTATTATTTTATGATATATATTACATTAAAACTATGTTAAAAGAATAGAAGAAAGGATTTCATCAGAAGGCTAGCTAAGAATAGAATAATAAGGAACGATAACAAAGCCTCTGTCTTCGACTCTGTCTCTCTCACTGGAGATATTCCAGAACAGAAGCAGTCCTGTGCCTCGTGCTCTGGGATGACCCTGCTTGAGCAGGGATGTTGGACAAGCTGACCCATTGTTGTCCCCCCCAGTCTGATCCACTCTGGGATTCTGTGAAATTATGATTATTCTTACATCAGATTCTTTACATGTCAGCAAGACCTTTTCCTCACTTTGCTTTCATTTCTTTATCAATTATCAACCAAAGTGGAATAATCAAAAGTAGTAGGAAGTATAGAAACTGCATGAGAAAGGAAAAAAATACAGAATTAATTAACAAACAACCTACACACACAACCCTATGAAGCACTTTTTCTCTGACTGCACTTGTTCCAGAACTCTAAGTTCCTAGAAGACAGCTGCTTATTTTTGAATTTCCTTGGTTATTAGGAATAGCTAGTGGACAAATTGTTTTGAAGTTTTCAATTTCTTGGCATCAGGTGTTGGCAGTCACATCCAGAGCTGACATTACACTTCGTATTGAGCTGTCCTTTCTCCACAGGTGACCACAGCTTCCAACAGAGAGGCACTAATCGTGATAAAGAAAACATAGCACAAAGAAATCCCATCCAAAACCTGATGGTAATGCTGAGTGATGCTCCAGCCATAGCCAGAAGAAGCAGGATACACATTGAAGAGAAAGAACATGAACAACTTTGATCCAGTCCAATGCATAAATAAATCAGTCTTTGGGTCAGGCTCCTAACCTGACCAAAGGAACAGAGTGCCCAGGACCACCAGTGTTTGCAAAATGTGGTGTTTATTAACCTTATGTGAATGGTGTGCATACAAAGAAAACTTGTAGTTTGGATAGTGAAAATGGGAGATTGTTGTCAGTTAACATTAAGAGCATTTACTAAAACCTTGTTTCTCATTATTTCTGTTTTTAGTTCCCTCACATCTGGGCCTGAAATTTGTTCAGTTCATGCAGTTGAAAGCTTTTCTTCTTAAACAACCACTTCTGCAGCATTCATACACACCAATGGATCTTCACAGACAGCCTTTTGTTCAGTTCAAGTCCTTAATGAAATGTTTACAAGCAGGAACTCTGTCACAAAGACTTTGTGAAGCAGCCATAGAGAAGAGAACACCCGGTTTAAGAATCTTGTAAAAGTTCAGATTTATTTAAAGTGGAGTGGGGCAGGCAGAGCACCAGATCCCTGGGGATGTTTGCATTCAGCTATTCAAGTTCTAGATAATTAGAATATCTCACTTCAAAGTCTCAGTAATGTATTCTCAATACCATTGTAATATAACACAGTACTTAAAAACCAAATCCAATTGCAATCTTGCAAAACAAGATGAAAAATAACTCATAGAAATTCCATACAAAATCAGTTTGAAATTGATGTCACAGTGACTCCTCCCTTCTCATTAAGGCTAAAGCTGGGAATCTTCTATATCTTAATTCTGAGAAAAATTAAGTTACAGGACTTGAACGCCTAAACAAGTTGCTTTGACACAGCCTCAATTAGCCTGTTTCAATGTGGAGGAATCAGGTCTGTAAATTTCTGATAAGTCTGTAATAAAAACATCCTTATTTCAAGTTTAGGTTTACAGCAGTCTTTTTTTCATGTAAGGAAAGGATCAGAAGGGCAAGAAAGTCTGAGAAGCCGAACAGCTTCCCATGTAGATATGATCACCCATAAATATTGTCAGCCACCTCAAAGAATTGATAACTTTGATATGTAGAAGCCAACATCTGAATAATTCTTGACTTTTTATTGTGGAAAAGCCAGCCCAAAATAAATAATTCCTCGTAGGAACAGGCAGTTGACTTTAATCAAGAAAGACCAAGAAACAAAACAAGAAATTTAACAAATGAAGAAAGATGTATCAAAAAAAGGTGGATTAAAACAGTTTTGTGGGTTTTGTCACTCATATAAAGGCTATGTAAAATCTTACATGTACAAGAAATAAAGAATTGCCCACCTCTAATGAGAATACAAAGACTGGAGGTGCTGGGCATCCACAGAAAATAATTTCTGCTTTAAGCTTGATATAGTCATAATCACCATCTGTAGCCCCCTGTTGACAGTAAATTGGATACAGAAAATATGCATAAATGCTCTTTCAAATAACAGAATAGACCCACTTACTGGGGCAAGACTGAAATTTTGTTAGAGATTCCTCATTCATTCCTTCATCCACTGAGGAGTATTTTCTGATAAAAAATATGAGATATCAAAAGCTTACCAACCAATTTCTTAAAAAAATTACTAACATTAAAGTATTATAAAAAGGAAACCAACATTAAATTAAAAAAAAACCAAAACAACAGAATTACAATCTCCAAGTAAAACCAAAGATCTTATACCTATATTTTGGTTTCTCATTTTGTTGAGAAAACAAGGGTATTTTGTTCCTAATTCAGCCCATGTAAAATAAAATATATACACATATATGGATTTCCATAACTCCTGGAAATGAGACCTTTGATTTTGTCTAGAATGAACACTTATTTCTGGGTGATCTGTAAAAGACTTCTAAATGCATCATTTTAGCAAAGCAAGTACAAGAAATCAGTCACAACAGCTGCATTTCCTGATGCAAATTTGTGTACATTGTGTTAATTACTTATTAGCAGGGGTTGAAGTGCTGTGAGACAAATCCTAATTTGTCTGGCCTTTATCAGCCTCTTGTTCAACAAAGCCACTTTTCCTGTGAGGCTAAAAATCCACTCGTCATTTTGGTTGCCTCGCAAAGAAGGGAATTGATATTTTAAAATCCATTTTTAGGCTAGTCCTTTAAAAATGTATGACAAAATTTGTATAGAAAGATGGTTTTGAAGGCCAGACCAGTGATGGAAACCAGAGCTTGGTGACTTCTGGTAGTGGGTAGGATACAAGGTTTGCACACAAATTCAACTCCCCCGGCTCTCTACCAACAAAGATCTACCCAGGCAACCCACACTAGATTTTCACCTGAAACTTAGGAAGGTTATCCAAAGCTCCTCATTAATTTTCTTCCACTTGTGATTTTGAATAATTTGCCAAGACCCTGATTTACAGGACTGGGAGGACTGACAGACTGCTCTTCTTGCAGCCTGAAGAACTTCATTCTTACCAAGAAGAGCAAAGTGCTCCCAAATCCACAGGTGTGTTTTCCTATCAACTGTGCACATTGGCTGAAGATTCACAGGCAGTGCATACAGGAGACAAGTTGACTATTTTATTTCTCTTCATCTTTCCTGTTAAAATGGTGGTATGATATGGTGATTCAAAGACTAATTGGAACCCTAAAGTCTTTGAAAGCTGGCCACCTTGAAGACTCTTCACTTAATATTACTCACTGTTAAATTGGGAGTGATTATTTTTAAAATGTAAAAACCATGAAATCACTTCAAGATGTCTTAGTAAGCTTAAATTCCCTTACTAGGCAAATGATCAAGAGTTTGCTATTTTTTTTCAAATAAAAAGGATTATGTAACACATTTAGCTATTCTAAGATGATTAAGAGAAGAAATGGCCTATGTTGCACATATCCTCATGTTGAGACAGATCTTCGCGCAAAGAATTTAAAGGTTCAACAAAAAATAACATGGAAAAATTAATTCCTCCTAGAGAGGTAATGGGGGTGGTTGGGGTAAATCACTATGCTATGATTAGCTATGAAATTAAATATCCTCTTTTATTGTTTTATTAGTTTTGAAACTTTCCATTGAAGATAGAAACTGTAATAGATACCTCTCTCTTGTGAGAAAATTTACTGTAAGGGCTCTTTTTAAATCCAGAATTACGATAATTCTTACCAAACACTGCAGTGTTAGAAAATATTTCAGCTATCTGATGGAAGGAACCAGTGCCACATTGCCTTAATTTCCTAGAAATCACAGTACTGAACTGCAATTATATTACGTGGCCAGATTAATTAAATTACTTAGGAATTATAAACACACTAAAGTGTTTATTAGATCAGGTTTATAAGCCTGGATCATTAGGGAAACAATTCAGATGACATTTTTATTACCTGATAATGCAAATATCACTGACATTTTGAAAAGGATATGTTAGGTTGTTTTAACTGAATTTACCACATTTTTGTCATTCTGATTGAGTTAGTTATTGCTCTGAATATTCTGAATCACTTACCATCATGATTACCCATTGTGATAACTGACACATGATTTTGTCGGTGGTGGTTTTAATTTCACCCAAGAAGAAATGCACTGAAGGCAAAAATAAGATTAAAATTAGAAAAGCAATATATCACTAAGATTTATTTCTTAAAAAAAAGTCTCAAGTGGGCAAATGAATGAGGAAACTGAACACATTATTGAATTAAGCAGTTCATTCCTTATATCTTCTTGTAGCTCTTTGTTCACAGATATGTACATTTTCAGATTAATACAATGAAACCAAAAGCATATTAAAAAACCCCAAACAAACCCATAAAGGATCACTTACAAAGCACTTTTTACTTCTGCAATAAGTACAAAACTATACAAAAAAAACTGTAGAACAAGTCAAACACTTAGTCTTCCACAAATTAAGTATTTCATATTCTATTGAAGCTAAAACAACAGAATATTAAACCCATTCTTTTTCTGAGTTTGTATTCAATTCTTTAGTGCAAGGCCACAGAGCACACATGATAATGTTTTTAAAGTTCTGGAAATCATTGAGTGGAAATTAGAAGTAAAATAAATTATGGTATTTCTTCTGTGATCTTTTCAGTCTGACATTTAGAAAATGTGACACATATATGTAAGATAAATCTGAAACAGGAATGCCATGAAAATGGTGCCAAGACATCTTTTTGTTCATCTGAGCTCCAGGAACCTCTTATTTTTTATTTCAGCTTTTTCTCAAAAAGTTATCAGCACCAGATGTGTTTGATATCAAATTGGAAGCAACATTAAAAGTAAATATAAATATTGTTTTTAAATAAGGAAAAGGTTTTGTAATCATATAGGGAAACTAAGAGATGCTCAGCCCAGCTGAACATGAGCCAGTCTGTGCCAAGGTGGTCCCTGGCACCTGGCCTGTGTCAGCAATAACGTGGCAGCAGGGCCAGGGAGGGGAAAATCCTGCTCTGCTGGCCACTGGTGAGACCACAGCTCAAAGCCTGTGCCCAGTTTTGGGAGCCTCACTGCAAGGAAGACCTGGAGGAAAAGTGTTGGAGAATTTTGCTCAGACATGGCTTGAAGGAAAAAAGGCCATGAAAATATACAGCTGATGGAAAAGTAAAGGGCAGCTGTAAGCAGCTAATTCTCAAGCCTGCTTCCCAGGCACGTTTCTGTAAACAGCAGAGTTCTCAGGCAGTTTTCTCATAACAGGTAAACTTTCTATCTTTGGCTGTTTTGGGAAAGTAAAAGTAGGTTTTGAGAACCTTTCATATCAGGGTGAGAACACAAATCTTGGTTTCAATAACAAACCACAGGTATTGAAAACAAAAGGAGGGGTTAGTGTTTAATCTGTAACCTATGATGAGCTCGGGTTTCGCAATATGTATGAGCTTAATTAACGCTTATAAAAAGTGACTGATTGAATCAATAAATCGGAGTTCGATGCTGATCAATTAGGATCAGTTGTCTCCCTTCACTTCAATAGAAAAGAGCTGGGGAAGGGTCTGGAGCACAAGTCTGATGAGAGGGAAGCAGCTGAGGGAGCTGGGGTGTTTGATCTGGAGAAAAGGAGGCTTGGGGTGGCTTTATTCTCTTCATGTCCCTGGGAGGAGTGAGGAACCAGGTGAGGGGCAGGCTCTGCTCCCAGGTAACCAGGGACAGGACAAAGAGAAATGGTCTCTAATTGTGCCAAGGGATGTTCAAGCTGGACATTGGAAAGCATTTCTTCATGGAGACAGCTTTCAAAGTTTGCGACAGGCTCCCAGGGAGGTGTTGGAGTCACCATTCCTGGAGGGGTTCAAGAAACAATTGGATGTGGCGCTTGGTGTCGTAGTCTGGTTGACATGGTGGTGATAAAGAAGAGGTTGAATTCTATCTTGGATGTCTTTCCCAACTTAAATGATTCTATTATCACATGTGGCACTAGTCTGAGCTGCACAGGTGCCAACTTTCCAAGTCAGATTTCCAATCTAGACACTTCACAAATACCTAAAGCTCTGTCCTTATTGGTCTATTTGACAAAATTAGACCAAGTCTCCTGAGTCTCCTGGGACTGCTGAGATCATGAATTTAAGTAGAAATCTTAAAAAAAAAATTAAAAAAATAACATCAGGTCAGAACCATTTATATCTATTTTATTTCTGAACAAAAGGATCACATTTGAAGTCTACCATGATTGTCTCTCTGTCATTTCATTTCTGTGCCCTTTCTTGGTTCACTTGGTTAATACAATGAAACCTGCAGCCTTTTCAGACTGATTCCCTTTTCAGCAGAAATAGTAATGTGTCCCAGCCCCATGAGGGTGCTATAAAGAGCATACCTTAAAAACACAATAATACCATGCATTCATGTTAGATAGGAAAGTGAATTTTAAAGAAACCATTCTCCCTGTACCCGACAAAACAAAACAAAAGCAAAACTAAATTTTGTACTTTGAGTTGACTTTTTCTAAAGTTTTAAAAGCAGGCCACCTTGAAGACTACTCACTTAATATTACTCACTCTTAAATTGGGAGTAATTATTTTTAAAATGTAGAAATCATGAAATCACTTCAAGATGTCTTAGCAAGCCTAAATTCCCTTTCTAGGCAAATGATATTGCAAATATCTATCTATGTCTCCAGACAGGCAAATTGAAAAATCTTTAAACTTTAAGCTTTAAAAATCTTATACCAACAGAAGGTCCAAAGTCAGTTATTTTGAGTTGGTGAGGGAAAAAAAAATAAGAAAAAAGATAAAAAGAGGGACAAGACAGTAGCCGCAGACTTATTAAAAGCAGTAAATATCAGACTGTTCATAGAACCCTGCCAGGTCTTTACAACTTTTGAGTGGGGTGACCAAGCTTATTCTACTCATGTGTGAATGCCCAATATACCAATTCTAAAAACTGTAATGAGTCACTGAGAAGAGGAATAGTGAATATTTTTAAGAGATTTGAACACAGACAGAGAAAAGGAGTCTAGACAACCTCTTTTATTAAACATTATTATTCAGTAGTACTCCAAGGCCAGAAAGCAGCATGAACTTCTCTGTGTCATGTATTATAAATAACAAACTTTCTGAAAACAAAACAAAAAGAAAATCCATCTAAAAGACTCAAGAAAGTAACCATGTGCAGTTTTTTTGGTTTGCAAAAGCCAAGGGGAAAAACCAACAAAATAACCCAGTGCCAACTCAATAACACCTTTAAGAATCCCTGTTACTATTTAAAATGGAGTCCTGTAGCAGTTCTCTGTAAACTATTATCATATTTTGAAGTGCATTAAGTGCTGCTGTGCATTGTTCTCCTCTTTTCCTATGACAGAAGCTGAAAAAGCTCAGATCAGCTCAGGCAGAAGATGCCACAGATCCAAGTAAACACCACTCACTCCAAGCCTAGAGCTGCTCAGTGCCTCTGTTATTCCTCATGTTTTATCATGGGCAACCCAGCCCCTGGAAACTGCTTGTGGAGAGCTTAGGACACATTTAAGAGGCAGTGAATAAAGGTCAGCCAGGACTAGTTCCACTGATGTTGCAGCTATAAACACTGATGAAAATTCCTGTATGATTTCCTGCAGCAAGCCAGGAATGAACTCCAGATAAAACAAGGACAAAACCCCATTTCTTAACGTAAATCAACCCTACAATTACAGCCATGTGGGAATAAAAGGTGAGGTGGGTATAAAATACTGGGCTGGGAAGTGTCTCATCAGTGAAAGAATAGGAACTGTTATGGTTAAAGAAAAGAAAATTGTGATTTGTTTAAGTATCATCCTTAAGAGTTGAGATAATATTTCTCCTTAGCTAGATGAGTTTCCTTTCGCTATTTTGTAACATTAACTACCATCTTATATGAACTCTGGATCTCCACTAAATTACTCACAAAAGAAGTAGGTGGCAGACCCCATCAAACCCAAGCCACTGGGTTTCTCAGACCCTTTAGAAAAAAATAATAGCTTTGCTTTGAAATGCTTGAGAAGAAAGAAATCCCATGCAGTGGGAAAACATTGCATCCTGTGGCAGACTGGTATCACCAACTGCAGAAACAGCTGCTGAAGGATCATATAGAAAGAAATGGATATATTTAAGAGAAGGTACATTTTCAGTCCAACAGAATCCTTGTAAACTCCCAAGAAAAGCTACACAACAGATCCTGTCTCTTTCACTTCCTGGAACCTCAACTGAGCATTTTTTGACAGATTAATCATTGCCCTGGTAAGCACTGGAAAAGAGGCACATTTGCTGGTGAAGAGAAATCTGAGTGGGAATGAAATATTATCTTGAAGAGGACAGGGCAAAAAGACTGCAGCAAGGGTTAAAAACCTTTTCCAAGAATGTCAACAAGTGCAACCCTTGAACAAGAGACATGGGACAGAGGGCAAGCAGTGCACAATGTGAGGAACCACAAAGAAATATTTTTGTCCACTTGAAGGATTATTACAAACATCACAGGATGACCCTATTGGCCATGCCCCATCAGTACTATTAAAACAAGAAAACTGTAGCACCATTGTTCTGCTGAGTTACTAAAGGTATTGTCATTTATTATTAAAGGGAACAAAAAACAAAAAGAGGGGATAAAAAAAAAAAAGAAGTAAAGCTGATAAGGAGGTTGGGAAAAATGAAAGCACCTGAGTCTGTTCATTAAGGCACATTCTGGTGAATGATACAATGCCATTGCTGGCAATGGGCATTCAGTCACTCACTGATCAATATCAAATAGTTGTGTCAGAGTCTTTCAATCAAACATTTAAAGGGCTTGGGGGAAAAGAGCTGCCACCTTTTAGAGACAAATGGTGCTGCTATCACTATGGCAACCAAAGCCATCTGTCATGCATGACACGGAGGATTGTTCCTGACTATCCCACCAAGCCTATTGCCACTGCATTAGATCACAGTTTTTGTCTTTATTTGTCAAGGAATGGTCAGGCAAACCAGAAGGGTGCACCTAAATGGTACAATAGGGCTTAGAATGGCAACACGGAGCAATAACTACTTGCAACAGCCCATGACAGGTCATTTCCTAGTTGGAAATGCTAACAAGAAGTCAGTAATTCCACAGTAAATAATGCTACCCAGTACCATTAACTAAGTCCATGGCAATGCAGTATATGTGACAGCAGCAAAATTTGAAATACAAGGGGTAGGAGCATAAAGAGAACAAAGAAAAAAATATATTTCTAGTCTGTTTATGGTGAAAATATACATCACAGACATTAATTTCTATTAATTTTCCAAATTAAATAATAACAAGACCCAAATACTCCATTAAGTACATGGTCTGTCATCACACACAGTAAGGACAATTTCTCCTATTTTAAAATTATTTTTTACCTCTAATGTAATGAAATGGCTTACAGAATAAAACAGCACCCCGGCAGGTCACAAAAGGAAGCTGTAATGAGTGTCTGCTTGCAGCAGAGCCCACTTGGCTTCTGAGTTTTGGCAGCCTGAAGTTTTAATTATTAGAAACTATCATTACAGTAAGATATTTCCTGGAACTATGAGTTAAGAGGGAGAGAAGTGTTGACTGTGGCAACCTGTTTCTTCATATATTGAAACTTCTAACTAAAATTCTTTCCCAATATACATTAAACAAGTCAGAGTCGTACCATAGAGTGACATGGAGAATTTATTTACACCAAGTTATTTGGGTGGACACAATTGGTGTGTCTAAAATACATATCTAGTAAGACACTGGAAGCTATCAGTTTTGAGGTAGCAGTTATTACACCACCTGGATTCATCCAGAAGGGCCAAAAAGGTGATCTTTAAGAAGATTTCTACATTTGAAGTATTTGTAGTCCAAGCTGTGACTACACAGATATTATATAAACCATAAGAACCCCTGCTAACATTTATTACACAAGGCAAACAGCACATTAGATGAAATAAGCTATCAGTTGTAACTTTGACATAGCTTAAATCTGTTTAAGTATTCAGTACTTCCCTAAGCCATTCCTCCTCACTTCCTCCTAAGCAGCAAAAGCAAATCCTCTTGGCTTCTTTGTCAGAGTTAAAAAAAAAAAAAAAAAAAAATGCAAACTGAGGCTTCTCAGAGGCTAAATTATCACATGCTGTTGCATTAATTAAGGGGCAAAGACTCCTCAAATGTTTTTTAGGTCTGGGTGACTTGGAAGCACAAAAGGCCCTTCAGGCAGCTCTTTCAAGAGTTATCTCCCTCTCTCACCATGCCAGTATATCCTCTATCACATAAACGCTCCTTTTCCTCCCTGTAGTGGATTAAAAACTTATCTCTGTTGAACAATGGTATAGGATTTCTTAAGCAGCCTAACATCTCTCCTCGCCCCCTTCCCCAAACATAAAGTCAGACAAATATTTGTTTCTGTGGATTTAGAGGGCGGTGATGTAGCTGGTCATCATCTACTAACCCAGAAAATGAGTGGAAAGTTTGGGGTTTGAAGTAAACGGTAAAAAAACTGCAAGTGCTTAATGCAGCTGACACTGCAGAGGTTTTAGAGGTGGAGAGAGTAAGGCAGTACAAGATCAGTATGCAGTGCCAATAACTGTGACGGAAAAGAGAGCACTTTGCTTTCTAGTCCCAATTTTTATCAAGTTTCCAGTTAGTATTTCAAAAATTTCCCTAGTTTTTGTAAGATTTGTTTAATGTGAAAACATCACATTTCCTCCCTACTTGCCTCCAAAAGTAACCTACCTGCTTCTCCACTGCTTCAAAATGAAACAATGGATTTTGAGGTATTTCTTAAGAAAAACTAATTTCATTTTCATTACATTTAGTATCTACATTGTCACTAGCCAAGCAGATTGTCATTTATGAATGTCTTCACTCAGAGGCATGGAGTCCTGCCTGTTCTTAGGCTGCTCTTTTCCTTAGGTCTCAACACAGAGTTTATTTGTGTATCTTGGGGAGATATTAGTTTATAAGCTTAGAAATTATACAACATGACTTAATAAAAATCTTTTCAGCTTCATAAGAAATCTGCTTTATAAAACAAAATACAGAGCTGTAAAACCTGAGTGTTTTTTTCCTCATTCATTATAATAGAAAAAGAGCTTCAAATCACATTTGGTCTAAGATAAAGCAAACCTTTGCATACCACAGGTATTTTAGGACTGACATTTAAAAGAAGCCTAATATTCATTCTTTCCTATTTACTTTCACATCAGGAAAAAAAAAAAAAAAGGATCTTTTCCTAACTTAGATCCCAGCACAAAGGGAATCAGTCTTTTCAATAACAACAAAAGGTGTTTGGCATCTCATGAGACAAGATTTTTTATCTCTTCCTCCACTATTTACTTCTTTAGCGATACTGGCTAGGGAAGAGAAATCAGCAGAGACTTAATTCCATCAGGGACTTCATTCCATCAAACAGGGAGTAAGCAGCCATTCTGAAATTCTCCTCACTGCAAATTATGCAGGACAGGGTCAATACACAACATCTCACAGTAAAACATTGCTCTAATTCAAAACACTTTCACTGTAACAGATAAACCAAAACCAGGATAAGCAAACAGCTAAAAATTGAGGGTTTTGTACGTGGAAGGATAACCTAAAAGTCACCCAGGGCTGGACATCACCCATACCTGCATATTCCTCAGACTTTGGACTCTCTGCAGTTAAGCCAAAACAGAAAACAGGCACAAGCTTATCTACCTCCTAAGGCAAAGTCTTATTAGCACACCAGGACTACTTAACCCTCAATTCCTGTGCTCAGGGAGTTACTCTTGGCTGCAGCTACATTCAGGGTAGGCTAATGAGCAGAATATGCCAAAGCTGTCAGTGTGAATCAATTAACATCTGCCTCTGGATCTGCAGCACCTGCTAACAGGCTGGATTAGGAGGGAAAGCCAGCTCTGCTCTCCCAGGGCACTCAGAAGTGTCGGGGCACATTAGAGTTTTGAAGCTACTTTCAGCAGTAGGTGCAGCTGGGGAAGTGGGTTGTGCATCCCCTCTTGGCAAGAGTCTGGGAATGTGCATTACTTTTTGTAATAAAGTATCATGCCAAAAGAAAAAGGAGCTCATTAATGTGCTTCCCTTTTCATCCAGGAGCAGGATAACTGGCACCACTGCTCTCACCTCTCTGTCAATAAGCTTTCAGATGCACAGTGCAAGCCTTACAAAGCCAGTCAGAAGCAGTGGGATTCCTCTGGTTTTGCAAATCTATTAATATTAGCACAGGTTTTAAAAGTATGTGAGTCTCTGCTCAGCTATTGATTAATCTGCAAGCCAGTGCCACAAAGCACTGTTTTGCCAGACTTGTTATCATTTGGAGCAGGCTGAAATGGGTATGTGAATAATAGAATTAGCATAACAGGCCTGCTGCAGATTATCATGAAAGTCAAGAGATCTGTAAGGTGACCCTGCACGAGTAGAGGACACAGCATTATTTCTTTCTAAGCTTCTAAGCTTCTTGCATCTTTTATCTGATGAGTACAGCCCCAGATCATCTGAGAGATACATATAATATATTATTCAATATGATATCTTTCCTTACTAATTCAATCTTTAACGATACTGTATTTCTACAGTTTCTCCTTCAAAATTTCTCTCTGCTTTCAAATTTTCTTTTCCCCCATCTCTTATGTCCAAGTGTTATGTGGCTGCTGTGCCCATGTGAGACTACTGAGTCTAAGGTGATTCTGTCAAACTTTTCTGTTACTTATCACTGAAGTCTGATCACCTTCTGCTCTGGGCAAGTTTTGTATTTCCCCATACTCCAAAACTTAGACGCACACTGAAATCACATCTGATGTATTAGTTGTAAATTCTGCAACTTAACTCCAGGTATTACTCTTGGTAAGATTGCTACTGATACACAATGAAAATGAAAATGGCTTAAAATTACTGGGTGTATTCTGCAATGTAAAATGCTCATGTTGTGTTAAATTGGTTGGAAGTATAAAAGCTTTTTCTGTTTTTTTTTGTGATCTTTCTTTGTTAATATCACCAGGAGTCATAAATCCTTCTGAAAAGATGCTCTCAGACAGGTACATTCCCCCAGACAAATAACAAACATCCCCATGGCAGTATATATATATTTCTCTGTGTGTGCAATATGAGAGCTATGAGAACAAGGAAAATGAATTCTCTTTGTCTAAGGGATTCATTCCTAGACTCATGCTCAGTTGGTCCTGTTCCTGAATTATACATTCATGTCTATAGTTTTCCTGTGTCTGAAAATTATCTCTTCATAGAAGGCACACAGAATGCAGAAGAATTAAAATGGCTGAAAGCCATTCAATCAGTCACAGAATATTTTTCTTTAGCATTAAATGAAGGAAATTATTAGGAAGGAGAAAAACTAAGCACAATCACTAAGTTGGTTGTGCTTCTTTGTCCAGATGTGAGGTTTTAAAATGTTTCTATAGAATATCATATTAATACACAGAAAGATGTGTATTAACGGCTGTAAGTCACAAGGTTTTTCAACAGCAAGGTGAGCACACCAGCTCTCACTTTAGTGACTCTCCATGTCAATAGGAAAGCCTTGACACAGTTTCCTCAGCTGTGGGAATTATAATTTTACTGCCCTGTGTACAGATGACACATGATTTTTTTGAGTGGAAGTTTATCAGATTCTCTCAAATTCTTGTTACAATATTTTAATTAATCCCTTTCCTTCATTCAAGTCTTAACCAAATCCTCTGGGGTTTTTTGTGCGAATGTTGATGCTTTTGAGAATGTCTTCACGTGTTCTGGATAATGTTGGTCCTTAAGTTGAAAGGATTAGATGTACCTTGGACTGATATTTTTTTAAATTCTAAGTGTATTTTAAACTCAGATTCAGCATTTTATTGCTGGATTCTTTCCAGATCTTTATAAACATACAGTTATTTCTTCTGTGTCATTTTTGATGTTTCAGTGACACTTGAAAATCATAAGTTTTAATTTAATTTCTAAAGACCTGTTTATGTTCAAGAGATTCTTAATTTTGTCAGGTTTTTTAAATAATATAGAATTTTTGAATTCTTTTAGAATGTTTTAATGAAAAAGAGACTTATATAATTTCTGCCTGTATCTCTTGGTTGTGAATGGCGATCCATCCACTTGGTGGCTGGTCACTAGTGAGGCTCTTCAAGGTTCAATACTGTGACCAGTCCTGCTTAATATGTTTATTGGAAACCTGGATGAAGGAGTAGAGTGCTCCCTCAGTGAGGTCACTGATGACACCAAGTTTGTTCTTTAGTTTAGCTGACACAGTAAAGGTTGGACTTGATGACCTTGGATGTCTTTTCCAACCCCTATGGTCCTATAATTATAACAACTTTCTCAGGGGTGCCTTAGTACAAAAAAGATTCCTTGATCTTTCATCAGTCAGTTTGGGGCATGCTAGAGCTGCTGTCCTTAATATTTAGCCTACACACCCATTTTTCTCTGAAAACTGCATTTTGGAACTAAATAGCAGAACTGTTCATTACTCACATCTTGTCCCTTTGTCATGGTTGTCTCTCTGGCTGGTAACTGAACACTGCAGCCAATGACTCAGTCCCACATAGTGGGATGGAAGGGAGAATTGGAAGAGTCAAAGTGGGGAAACTCATGGTTTAAGTTAAAGACAGTTTAATAGGGAAATTCAAATCTGTGCAGGGACTGAAATGGTTCATGCCTTAAATTTGTTATGAATATTGTTGGCCCATTATAGCAAAAAATGTATAAAGAAGCTACAACCACAGAAACCTCCTTGAGGAACTTTAGACCATAAGTCAAACTGCTGAGATTAGATGAAGGGAAAATCCATTCTTCAATCACAAGGCTGAGGGAGAGGAATGTATCCATAACAAAGCCAAACACAGCAGATATTCTTCCTTGGCTGACTTTGGGTGGGGGAGACCAGAGCATGTAGAGGCCAGGTTTACTCCCCACTGAAATGTGGAGGGAGAGATTTGAGGTGCAACCTCTCGTCAGAGGCAGCAAACACCCATCCTCCCTTACACAAATTGGCCCAGCTGTGTAACCCCCAACCCCACAGGTGACATCCATGGGACATTCACATGAGAGGCACATGGGAGGGTGTTATTATTCAACAAAGGCCCCCCAAAGTGCCCCCCAGAGTCATTCCTGAAGCCTGGCTCCATAAGACTGCATATGATGCAACAAACTCAGGGTCTGTTGTAGGAGACAATGGCAAACTCCCCCTGCCCCAGGGATGTGCCTGGGTTTTCCTGCCCTGACTGTGTATTAACCCATCACATTCCCTGCTTTATGGGGTACCTTCACTGCCAAAAAGACCAGCTGGAGAGGATCAACAGAACATTGTTGGGATCCACAGAGTGGTGATATTTTCTTTATTCTGTCTCTGTCACTCTCTTTTCTGTACCCTCACCCTCCGCCACCCTTTTCTATTTCTTTCTTTCTCTCTCTCTCTCTCTCTCTCTCTCTCCCCTTCATATTCACTATCAAATAAAATCCATACTATTGACTTTGGCATATGGTCTTGTTTGCACATTAATTAGGGCAGAGGCATTTCTAATAACTTTAATAACTGGATCATGACACAAAGCAAAACAAGGAATTAACTCACTGCTTCCCATGGGCAGGCAGGGTTTCAGCAATCCCCAGAAGAGCAGGGATCCATCACACATAATGGTGACTTGGGAAGACATATTCCCTCCCTCCAAAACACCATCCTTCCTTCTTCATCCCACTTTATACATTGAGCTTGATGACAAATGTAATGGAATAGCCCTTTGGTCAGTAGGGGTCACCTGTCCTTGCTGTGCCCCCTTCCAATTCCCTGTACATCCCCAGACCACTCTCTAGTGGCAGAAAAGGCCTTGATTCTCTGATCAAAGCTCAGTTATAGTGAAAAATCCCTGTGTTATCAACACTGTTTGCAGCACAAATCCAAAACACAGCCCCATACAAGTCACCATGAGGAAAATGAACTCTGCTCCAGTCAAAACCAGCCCAGCCTCATAAGGATTTGGAAGCACATCTTTAGATCCAAGCATTTGACCTGGCAAATGTTGCTGGTAGCAGAAACACAATTTTTTTTTCCTAATTTTAAAAATTCTTGCTTCATCACTGATCACGAGTGCTGGCAATAGCAGAGCTCAATGTGTCAGTGTTAAGGGCCAAGTCCCACAATCACTGTTGCTATTTCTCCACACAGCAGAGAGGTTTTACTGCAGTGCAACACAGCATCCCCTCTGTGAGCAGAAAGGCTGTGAGATTGTGAAGCTGTTTCAGGGTAGTCTTTCTCAACATCAAAATCATCTGAGGTCAAGAGGGCAGAAAAGGAGCTATTAGCAAGATCATTGTAGATTCTTGTTTCTGTGCTGTGTAGGAGCAATTTATTTTTTGGTGTCTGAGTTTTCCTTGTGACTGGGGGTTTGCTGCCCTCCCTCCTCACAGGCACTGCAGCCCCTGATACAGCCCTTGATTGCTCAGACAAAGAATCCACTCTTTGGCTGCAAATGCTTAAAGTCTTTGATATCAAGCAAGCCAAGAAAACGAATGCCTAAGCAAATCAATCGCTCAGCTGCAAAATGAAAAGCAGACTAGATTAGAATGGAAAATAAGAGTAGAGGTGACTTTAGAGCCATGACTCTCCCCTCCCTCTGTTCCCATTTTTGTCAGTGGGAAAACTATAATTTCCCCTTTTTGTTCTCCAATGGCAAAAC